TCACTCACTCACTCACTCACTCACTCACTCACTCACTCACTCACTCAAATGGCACGCGAGGTCAGCGCAAAAGGTAGACCTTGCCGGGATGCACGCAGGCAAAGCAGGGCGGTGACCAGTCACCGTCCCTGTTTGCCCTGCCAGCAATGCTTGCCCAATAGAGCCAGCACCCCGGCCAACACTGAAGACAGTGCAACTTTCCAAGACACCCATTGCACTTGCAGGAGAAGAAATTCAACTGCCTGTTGAGATTCGTGAGCGTGACTGGTAAGATGAGCTCGAAGATAGTGGTGGAACGCCTGCCTACCATCAGCTAGATTGCCACGTTTGGGTGTGAGCTTGATTTTGTCCATCCGAGCGAGCACTCAGAAGCTTTTGAAGGACCCTATATGCACTGTGTAATTGCCTCTTTGTTTGGCAGGTAGATCGTGCACGTCATCGCGAATTGCTCATTCGCAAGATTAAAGCTCATCTTTCACCAGAGCTGGTGTCCGACCCTCTGCTCCGCTACCACACGCTAGGTAATCAGTTGGCCAATGATTGGGCCCAGCGGCGCAGCTTGGATCAGAATGATCCGGTGAATGCAGAGCTCTTGCTGCAAATGCGTGACATTCGCCAACAACGTTTGGACCTCGACGCTTTCCTCCAATATGTCGCTGCTCTTCAGTTGGAACGCCAGACACAGCTTGATCTGCAGAAATTGACAGGAGATGAACCCATCCCCTCATCGGCTTTTCAGAATCTTGCCAGCTGGTCGATTCCGGTGCCGAGAACAAGGATTGAGCTAGCTTCCGACGCATGGGAAGGATGCAGTTGGGGATGCGATATAGCATGTCACGTCTGGAGGTGGATTTGCAAGCTGCAATGGCCTGCCCACATCGCTGCAGATGACAACGACGGAGTTGGGGTCACCTGGCTAGAGCTGTTTGTTTCCTTCTGCCTCGACCAAAAGATCTTGATCGGGGTGATTCGACAAGCACAAAAGGAGAAAGAACTCCTGCCATTGTCCAGTTGGCACGATGTCATCCAGTACCAGATTTTTGTTGAGACCTTTTGCCAAAGTTTCGCCACCTTGGTCCAACAGGTTGCTCAACTCTCCAACCCCCATGGTTGGCCGACGGTTCCCAAAGGCATGGTCAAAAGCCTGTACATGCTTGGCGCATGACAATGGCGCCATGGACTCAGGGTGCGGCCGGTCTTTCCGGCTCAGACAGAGACGATTTGCCTTGTTCGTTCATGGATCTCTACAGGCCACGCGACATCCCATTTAAAATGGGTGCCAGGTCGCTTCTTTGAGCCGCTCCGCAACCAGCATGCAACTCCACGCCCGTGGAGCCAGCTCGCCAAGAGCTTTCGAGCACGCCTTCGTAGATTCCGTGCTGAGTGTCCCCAATGAGGGCAATCGCTAGGCAGTTGCCCGGCCAATGGGCCCAGGCTGCTGACCCCTCTAACCAGCGGAAAAGGTAAGTTTTTACAGGCTGCTTGGGCAGTTTTCCTTGGCTTTTGAGCAGGAACGCTGTGTTCCCTATTGTATGCCGGAGCGCTTGGAGGACTATTATCTCGTTCGCGATCTTTTGTGTGTGGACTTTTGTTTTGGCAGGTGGATCTTGAGAAACGACGCTGCAAATCGGTGCCTGCATTTGGCAGCAGATTGGCCTATGAGGGTCATTGGTTAGACAGATGGACTTCTGGAACCCTGTCCTCACGAAGTTGACTTCAGCCAGGTTTACAGGTGGGACTGTCGTCTCTAAGAAGAAGTTGATGTCCGGGTCCGTATTGTTAATTTATTAGTATACATTTGTTTTTATGTTTTTCGTTCAATCTTTAGATAAGTAGTTTCTAAGATATCTGAACTCAGGCACTGACAGTGCACTTATACAATTCATATATATATATATATGCAAGTGTATATATATATATATTAATATACACCAGCACCACCCAACGGGTTGTTCTTAGATGGAAACTACATCTTCGGGGGGGTCGACAAAAAACAATAATAACAACAACAACAGCAACAGCAACAGAAATAGCAACCGCAACCGCAACCGCAACGGCAACAACAACGACAACAACAACAACAAAAACGACAACAGCACAAAGGGTGGTGCTGGTATGTACTGTTTGAGTACATGTCACTGTCAGTTTGATCGTCCTGATCTGGCAGGAACGGGCTGTTCGGCCACACTGCGCACGTGTGGCGCCCCGGGCTTTCGCCCGCCACACACGCAGCTTGTTTGGATCATGAAATATGACATATGGTGCATCAAAAAGCAATAATTGTATATAACTATACCTAGAACCCAGGAATGACCTTTGCTTTGATAGGAAATTTGACCGAATTTGACCATATCCAAAACAGGGTTCACTCAGGTTCTAGGTGGGACCAGAATTTGTGTTGGGACGTTGTGGGACATTGACATCCAGTGTGTTTTTGTTTGCTCAATGTACTGTATCCCAAAGAGACACTTTTGATCGATCACGTTCGTAGGCTTAGGGATTGATCCATTTGAAACACACATTTTCAGGCTCCTGACGCTGAGTTCTCACGCAAACAAACACTTCGCTCCCTTGCAACAAGATGGTTGTTTGGAACTAAAGAACAACTTTACAAGTCGTTGCTCCCAAATCTTGCCACTCCTTCCCAGGATGGGCTGTGCAGCTGCCACAGTTGGTTTTGGCGGCAGAAACATCAAGATTCTTAGGGATCTGAGATCTGCTTCTCAGAAGGTCTTTGGCATGTTTGTCCCATATGGGAGTGCACACTAACAAATATACATCAACAAATGGTATCTATCATATAAATATATACAGTTATATACTGTTCGTTTGTTGATGTAATCTACAGTTGTGTCCCTGCCTTCTGGGATGTGCAGTTTTGTCTATCTTGAACCAAGTCTGGAATGAGATCCAACTCCTGATGGTGCCGGAATGAGACCCATTCAATGGCCTCCTTACCTGCGTTTTCTCACGGAGAAGGATCAACTTGTGCCCAAGTAAGAGGCTTTGAAGAGGCAAATGTTACAATGGTGCCATATGGTGCCTATATCTTCAAAAACTTTATTGGTTGAAAGTTCAAAGCCCAATTGATGGTTGGTATGGGTGTTTGCATGTGATTGTGAGGCAGTCTTCTTGGTTTAAACCCAGAATCCTGAGAGGAGTGTGTACCAGCCCACGGAACATCTCAGAAATCTTACTCACCCAGAAGATAGACTTGGGAAGACTGAGCGGTTCGGGGTTGCAGGACTTCGGAGTCTTCATTGTGCCGCCTAGGCGCCACTTGTTCAAGAATTGGTTGCGTCCTCTCGCAAGGGGCATGCAGGCGAGGGAGTGGAAAAAAACCAGGCGATGGAGGGTCATGTAGAAGTTGGACATGCGTGGACTGGGATTGTTGGGTGGTTCGTGGTGGTTCTTGACCCAAGCATGGATTCTTTAACATAACATGAGCACAACATACGAATGATCCATGGTTCCACGAATTGATCTTCAGGTGGAACACGTTGAACAATATGTTCCGACTCACTAACATGGGTACGTGGAAGATGGAGTGTAGCTGGTCTACCTGGTCAGTGGATAACCTTTAACTGTTTTGGGGGATTGGTTTACTCAAATCCCAACAGGCGGATAGTTCGATTAGCCTTTTCTGAGTTGTTTGATCCTTGGCACGCCAAAAAAACACGGTTGTTTTTGCATCCTCAGGGCCCAACAACACTGAATCAGACACCAGTTCGTCCACCCCAAGCTGGTTGTCAGCCACATGTGGGGGAAACACACTGAGACCAAACGCCTTTCGTCCCCCCCCTTTTCCATTGGTTTCAGTCCCGGATCCACCTCGAATCCATCGGCGCCCTGCAGCTTTCGGTACGTCGATTGTCTGACGTCGAACCGCTCGAGCCGACGGCCACCCGGCGCAGCCGACCACGTCCGCCCACACGGATTCCGCGCGTTCCGTGGAGGCACCGGCCTTCGGAAGCTGGAAGAGCTCGACCGGGACCGGAACGGGAACGGGGAAAAAGAGGCTTAAGAGGCCAACGGGGAAAACGTGACCAGGGACGATCAGGGACGACTGGCAGCTCTTAGCTGGGTTTGGAAGTGTAGTAGAGAGGGTAGTAGATGGGTAGTATGGATATAGTCGTTGGACTTCATGTTGTTTCAGTTGGCCTGTTCCGATCGGTTCTTGGGGATTTTCCCTCAAATGATGCATCGAGACATGATCGTAGTAAAGGCACTGCCATGGATCCAAGTTTGTACTCTTAAGCGGGTCGGGTCTTGAGGATGGGGTTTGGTTAGTGGCTAAGAGTCTAGTGGCAAGACAAACGGAAAGACATGACTAGGTTTTTCCAGCGTGAGATTTAAGGAGACAATTGTAGAGAAGTTTGGTGTGTATATAGGGATGATCATATTCTTCTTTCAAGTGCCATCGCTGCATGTCTCACATGTCATTTATGAAGTTCAGCTGACACGAGCCGACGCACCGACCAATCACAGGCAATGGGCTCGCACCAACGAGCCGACGCACACCAACCTGGTGTTTCAGAGTTGGAAAGAGCTTTGGTCATTTTGGATGTGCCATGAGTACATCCATATGCGAGGCCCTGACGCGGATGACTCCGCAATTGATTGGAAGGTGACAGCTCAGTTGCAAGTGCAGCCAGTGCTTAGGAAGGCCTTCTGAGGGCGAGCTGCTTCAAGGTAATATTCGTTCGGCCCCGGTTCTAGCACACCAGAAGCTCTTCGCCATGTTCGGATGGGCCACCTTCAGCCCTGGGGGCTTAGGGCCTCGGCACCAATTACAGAGGCTCTTGAAACCTTTGAACACACAGCCGTGGACTTGCAGGGTTGAATTCCCGCGGAATTATTTTGTTCACCATGAGACTTCCACTGGCCCGGGGTTCCCTTGCTCAGGCGCCCCACCTTGCCAGTGACCTGGGGGCGGGCTCCTCCCCACAAAAGCGACAAAAGCCGCGAACATGCCAATTTTTGGCTGTGAAAGGGAAAGAGCACGGCTTCAAGCTGCACCTCATCGAGTTTTCATCCAACTCTCAGGGTGACTGGATGAATGCTCCCCACAAGCTCTTTGCGCCTCGCTGTGGTGCCACAGATCTCTATACTCTGACCCATTCATTGATACTTCGATCCAATTTGGCCTCTTGAAAAAGGGACCATGAAGGACCTGTGTGACCTTGGACTTGCTGTCCCAGAAGTCCCAGGTGGGCCAAGGCAAGACGGATGTTTTTTTGGGTGTATAAACTATATATATATATATATAGTCTCAAATTAACTGTTACAATAGTATCAATTCAGTTAATAGTATACATTAGTGTCGACAAACATGAACATCATATATATATATATATAGAGTCCTGTGGGGGGGCTCATCAATATCCCATATGATATTATAGGCACGGTTCTGTTTTGCCCTCACCTCGTGGATTACCTTGTTTAGAACACTGATATGTCACTTGTCCGAAATCCCTTTCTGACTTGTCACATGGCTGTGGGTAGATCGACCTGGACACCTGGTAGATCGTCATTGCAAGAGAACTTTTCGCTGCAACACCCTGGTAGATCATGGCTGCCATGGGCAAACCTTCATTCGACACCACAACCCCTCGGGTGGTTTTGAGCACGGTGTTTAGCTGGTCCCAAAAGCTCCACCTTGGCACCTGTTCCAGGTCAACACCTTGACCCCTTCACCACCTGGGGAATGGGGCGTTGAAACACGATCCATTTTGGTGTTCCTTCACCCACCCCGCAGGAATCGGAGGAGTCGCTCTCCGACAGGTGCGAGCGCACTCTGCTGGTTTGGGTCGCTGGGAGCGTCGCTGGTTTGGGGTCGCGTGGCGGGGTGAGGTCCCAGAAATGCCCACTGGATGGATGTGGTTTGGGGAAGGTCCAGGTCGAACTCAGCCTCAGTCTGTTATGAACAGAGTCCTAATAACAGAGTCCGTGACCCGATGTTCCTCGAACATCGCCCACGGTTTTTCATCACATGGTTTTACCTGGCAAATTTCACACGGTTCACTTCAGGTCAAAATGGTCCTTTTTAACCTTTTTTGGCAGGTTAAACAAGACAAATCAGTTTTACCATCTATTTGTTGAAATCATCAAGTGACTACTATAAGTGACCTGTGCATCGCGCCGCGATTGGCTGTGCGGTTTGGGAATGACTGGGAGAGAGATTGGGTCTCATTGGCACCTGAACCAAAGTAAAGGCATTGCAGTTGTTTCGGTCTTAGCCAACCTCATTTTTCTTGATTTGTTGAAACAAAACTTTCCAATACCTGACCTGTAGTATGAGGCTTCCAGCAACAAGTTGTTTCTTCGATCAGGCTGAACATGGTCAACCATGTATGTTCGTTTGGTGACCGTGAACGCGGGAGGCAGATGATACAGCGGCAATGATTTTTGGCAGACATATCAAGCATATTATTAAGACTCAAGGAACCTTGGTGTCCAAAGTTTGGCCGAACAGATATGTTAGTTGTCCTGGAAGGGTTCATGGTCGGTTGCCGATCGTAGTTTGTCCACTTCTAAAGCCGGGCGTGAACTCGTTCCCACTATACTCGTGTGGATCACAATGTCGCAGCAGGAGCAAAGGTCAATGTCCTTCTTCCAAGGTACCAAAAGTGTGTTCTAGTATGTTCCGTCACATGCAACGCCGGTTTGCAACAACCTCACAGGGATCTGGGTGCAGAAAGATATAAAACACTCTTATCCAGCCTTCTTGGAAAAGAACAGCATTCAAGCATATCCAAGCTTCACAGTCGAACTCTTGGCACCAGGTAGTGCAGGACGCTCTTCATGCCCCCAGGTACCATGGTTCTAGCTCACCCAGGTTCACACAAGAGGCCATGGCCAACCAACAGGCTTTGCATGCTCCCCCAAGGACCAGAAATCCGGGGCGGAGGTCCGGAAAGCGTAGCTCTTCCCCCAGAACCCGAGAGACCCCATGGACTCACGGTGGTGAACTTCGTTTGCGTTTTTCATTGCGCCACCTGGTGGTTCTCGTCTCCGCGGTGGTTCCCTTCGTTTCGTCGCGTCTCTTGGTTTGTCCAAGTGTCCCCTTCGGTGACTGAGCCGCACAGGCTCAGCAGTGCGGGTGCTCAGACATGTGCCACGTGGGGACGAAGCTTGAAGAGAATCGAGGGCTGCGGGGATTTTGAGCAGCTCGCTCTCATAGGGTCGAGCAGTTTGAGCTGCACTCTGAGGCCTGTAACTGGGCCAGGGCTGGGGGATTTGGAGTTGTAGTCGAAGTTCAGAACCAGGTTTCGAAAAGTTGTGTTTCCTTTTGAGGAAGACCCAGGTTTTCAAAGACGCCGTGTTCTTTGCCGGCCACTGATCTCCTATCTCTATATATATATATAGTATATATTTAGGTTGCAGAAGGTTTCAAGGTATCAACTCGTGTTGACAACACATGTTGACTGCAAGTGCAGGGTCTTCCTTGTTGCCTTGTGCCATGACCACGTCGGATTCCGAAGCTCAGAGTACAGGCAAGTCATGCTATGAATGATGAGGGATGCTTTATAGACATATATAGGAGTGAGATGAAGTTAGTTTTTTTTCTTTTTCTGTACTTTGATTCCGCTGGCCCCCAGCTGTTGCTGTTGTTGTTGTTGTTGGTGGTGGTGGTTTTCATGTTTTTTTAACCATCGAACCAGAAACACTGTAAACATCAACGGAGTTGAACCTCAGCAACCAACCAATGATGCAGGATTTACTTGCTTGGGCACCATGGTAACAAAAACTCTGTATATGTATACATACATACCGTATTACCTACCAAGGTGTTTGAACCTCGGCAAGCCAACAACTATGGTATTTACCATTCTGTTCTAACCCAGACACTCCATGTATGCCATATTTGCCTACATTGGGGGGGTTTTGGGGGTCAATGTAGGCATATACTCCATACATGGAGTGTATGGGTAATGTTCATGTACATTCACGCTCTCAAAACCACTTCGGCATTCCAAGCCCATTGGTGTTTTTCCATGTGCCCAAGGTGAGGGCAGCGATGAGGATCATAGGCCTGGGGGAGGCGTCGGCTTTGCATAGACTGATTTTCCCCGTCCAACAAGAATGCAAGCGGGTATTCAATGCAATTCAAGAGCATGTTTCTTCTAAGCCCAAAGCCTGCAATATTTTTCCATGTGGGTTCATGTTGATTTGATCGATCGACGAAATGATTGACCACCACATGTTGATCTGAAACATCTCAAGACGTGTGCCATACTCCTTTGTTGCAGCAAAACACGTAGGAGTTATCTAAATTCAAGACCAATACAAGCATGGTCTCTTTGTGGCAGGGCGCGTCCAGGTACAGGTACGTTGGTGCATAGGCAGGGTGCGGGTACGGGTGCGCTGGTACATGGACGAGGTACGGGTACGGGTGCGCTGGTACATGGACAAGGTACGGGTACGG